CTGCAATTGGTAATAATTTTTTTAGGTTTTGTCCACATAATTCTTTTTTGACTGAACTACGATTGGATACAAATTTTTAACTCAAATCCATTATTTTTTTTTTTCATTTTGACGACTACTCAAACATTAGGAGGTGAATGTTTATGAATTCAACTAGTTTTTATTTGGTTTGTTTTTAACTATAGTTAATTTTAAAAAAAATGTGCTATGGTTAGTTAATAGTGGATATATTAAAATAATATTTAAATAAAATAATTAAAGTTGATTTGATGTACAGTGGAGAAAAATGATTGGAAGTAATGGTTAGTTAAAATTATATGAGTGGATGAATAGTGAATTAAAGTTGATGTGATGTGTAAGAATGATAGTTTGATATTTCTTTTTATATTGATAATATTGAGAATAGTGAGGTTGAGTTAAAGTTGAGTTAAATTTGAGTTTTGATTAGTTTTTTTGAGTTGAAATCATAAACAATCACCCCCTAAGTAATTGCTTTGCTCATCCATTAAATCCCCTCTATATATAATTTCAGAATGCGCTGAACCTACGTGGCAAATTCTTATGCTTCGGTATCCTATTTGGCCAAAAACCATGCTTTGGAGTTAGACTTGGATATAAATTAATATTTTTTATTCATTTTCCTACATTACCATACATCACATTTCATTTTCTTATATAATTCATTCATTAATTTTTATAAATATTTCTTCTTCTTATTTTAAAATTTTATAACTTTTTTGTTTATATTTTATTTTTCATATATGATATATCAAATTAACTATCTTTAAATGATTTTCGATTTGACATCCATATTATATATATAAAATACAGAACAGTAATATATATCTTTATAAATAAAATTTAAATTCATTTATCAAACTAAATTAAATTATATCAAATAAAACTATAAATTATATTATACAGTAATAGAAATTGGTATGTATTCTTTTAAAAATGATAGTTATTTCAAATCTAATTGGTATATTGTCAATCTAATAAATATAAATAATTATTTATCTAAATTCTAAAATTACATATAAAGTTAAAAAACTGTGAAGCATGACTGTTACGACACTTGATGTATTAGACATCTAATTAAGTAAAAAAATTAATCTATTTTGCTTAATATTAAATAAACATATTCTACACTTATGCATATACATATCACCATATTATTTCTATTTATTTAAGATATATATTCTTGTACTATGTAATAGTAAAGAATATCGATATTTTTATATGATACAAGTAAAAAAATTCAATACAGGTTGACATTTTCATTTAATGGACGGGTGTTTAATTATTATAATTAAATAAATATAATTCGTCAATTTAATTAAAACCCAAAGTAATGTTTTATATAAAATTAAATTATTTTAGTTTTTTAAAAAAATAAAAAATTTAATATTTTTTATAAAAACTTTTTAATTCAACACCCGTGTAATACACGGGTATTGTACTAGTATCTAATAAATGAAATTCAGTCAAGAAAAAAGGCAACCCATTTTCGATCGCCACGCGCATTAAAGGTGCGAGTACCCCTTCCCCCAGATATATGAATAAGGTCGTTTGACTTGAAAACAACATGTTCGGTACCGTAATTACTTGGTTTGTTGCGTTCACACTTAAAGAGTTGGTTAATTACGGTACCGCCCCTAGTGTGAACACTCGCAGTATATAAGCAGCCTCGTCCTGCTTTCAACTATTATTCAATAGGATCATAACCAGCGAGTCAATTTTTAATACCGTTTGAAAAATATATATTTTTTACCTTCATATTTTTATTTATTTAATACTTTAAATACAATTTTAAAATAGAATGTAAATAATAATATGTCATTTCACTATATTTCATATTTGTAATAATATCTGACACATACTACCTTTATTTTTGCCGAAACGATAAGTATATTAAAAACTGAAAAACACAGAACGAGTACACCCGAGGTGTCAACAGACACCACAAGAACCAACACAAACGCTAAATCCACCCCATTGAATTACACATTCAACAAGGAGGATACAATCACCCGCAAACACAAAAAAACTCCAAAATGGAGATACAACAACTTCAAAACGGAGACAGATACCAGAGGCAACTTAACTAAGACAAAATCAACAAACAAAGAAAAACAGTAAACAAACAACTCATACTTGATCAGTAAAATAAAGCCCTCCTTACTTCCTACCACAAAAACCTAACCTCCCCAGCGAAAGCGACAACCCAATAACTCCAAGAAAAAAGAAACAAGCCCCGAATCATATTTGACAACTCCAAACTCCTTAACTGAACAGACTATGACGAACAAGACCTAAAGCAATAAGGATTGATCCTCCTTCCAGATATTCACCATCGTACAACGACTTCGGCACCCAACAACCGGCATCTCCCCCAACACAACCCTGACATCAACAAACAAACTAAAAGACAACACATCGGAGTAGAATCGCCCGACACAACCTCAGAAAAATTGGACGAACCGAAGGAGACGCCCTCACCAGCGCTAGCTCCGGCCGCATGAGTGCAGCGATGTTAGAGTGATTTTGTGAATATTGTATTTTTGGTATAGATAGATTTTGGTATCTTAGAAATTTGGTGTAAATTGGTTTTAGGGCTTTCTTTGTATCTTTATATTCGGCTCTTGTGAATCTCGGTGGAGTAAGATTTTAGGAAACAAATTAGTTTTCATATATTTGTCATGGTATCAGAGCTACGAGGGAAAAACATTAATCCACCTTTAAGACCTTTTAGCTAACACTAAGGCCCAATTATAATCAGCAACATCAAAAAATCAGTATGGAATAACAATTTACTAGTAACATCAGTCAACGATAAGCTATAGTCAACTATCCTCGACCGGCAACAGGCCTATGAGGCGATGTACCATCTCCTGGGGACCAACTGATACTAAAGAGGATTTGGAGGGAAAACGAAAGGTTGAATTTTGATCGTGACCTATCTTCGAGATGTAGCCGTTTGTTGGGAGAGCTGGGTTGGTTGGTCGTTTGGCCTCCGGCAGGAGGAACGACCACGATGGAGCGTGGTCGTTTCTTTGAAGCGTCGGCCTCTTTGGCCGACTGAGTGGGTTGGGGGTTGGTTTGCTTTGGCGGGGAGGAAGGTGCTTTTTGCTTGCTCGAGGTAGAGGGGACCACGGTTTTCTCGGTTCTCGACAAGGTATCCTTGGTCGAGGACACACCCTTAGCTTTGTCGGAGGTGGTCGATGCGTCTTTGGTGGTTGTGGTAGAGGAATCCTTGGTGGTCGTCCTCTTGTCAGTAGACTTTTTGTCAGGTTTGTTTAGAAAGCTCTCTGCACAAGTAAGGGAAAATTAATTAAAGAAATAAGGTAATAAATTTTAGAAAAACAACAATATTCGGACGAACTCCTCGAGACGCTCGGGCTGCGATACGAAGATCCGCAAGGTTCTGGTCGATGCGGATGTCAATTATTGTTTGCAGAAGAGGAGCGGGATAGGCTTTGTGAGTAAGTATATCGCAATAGTATAGAAGATGGTTATCTTTGAGGAGGGAAAGGGAAGCAACAGGGTTAGAATTCCAGAGGGCGATGCGATGGTCGAAGATAGGATTTGGAGGAGGAGAGGCAACCTCAAAAGAGACTTTTTTGAGCCAAGGAATAGGAGCCCAAGGGTAAGGGGTATCTGGTCGAATGAACACAAAACTTTCTTTCCATTTTGGGACATTGGAGGGGCGGTCGGATATAAAATAAACGTTATTCCTATTTTTTAAGTACAGGTTCCCAGACTGAGTGGGGCTAAATAACAATAATGGAAAAAAGCTAAGTCAACTTGACCTAGGCGGATAAAAGAAAGGATGATGAAAGTAGTTAGGTCCTAAAGTCATTGGGGGGAAGGTGGTTAAGGGCCAAGCCATATACGACACACAGATCGAGCAGAGGTTGACAGATGGGAAAGTGAAGGCCAATGTTGAATTGGGCTTTGAAAAAGGTATAACACCCACATGAGGAAGATCATAGGTGTCATCGTCACTTGGTTTATAAACAGCGGGGGGATGACCAACCTCATCGAGGTCGAGCCAGTTGATATTATGCGAGCGGCGGTGAGACTTTTTAGGAAACTTTTTGGTTTTGGAGCGGCTCGAGGAAGCCTTGGACTTGTTGGTTTTTGGACATTCATCTTCCTCTTCATCGTTCTCGTCGAAAGACCAAGTGGTCGACGAGAATGTGGTGAGGGAGGAGAAGGAGGTTTAGATGAACCTTCATCTGGATTATCGATGAGGTAGGTAGAAGGAGAGAGGGTTTCGGCGGAGCGACTTTGAGAGGGAAGAGTCGGTCGAAGCATTTCAAGGGTCACGATTAAAAAGAATGGGAACGGTTACCGCGTTATTGGTCGTTGGATTAAAAATGTTAATTAGATGGCTATGAGGAAGAGAGAGATTAAGTGGACGTGAAGTATGAAGTGACACGGATCACGGAATAATAATGACTTGACAAATGAAGAGACGCATATGATCAAACAGACAACTGGCGAGATTTGAATTTCAAAATGCAAAATGGCGGTGGAAGCAAGAGATGATTGAGGGCAAAGAAAAATATATCAGTTGGTCGAAACGAATAGAGCAACGCTCAAGAACACAGACAATGACCTACTCTTAGATCGACTCATTCAGACTCGACCAGAGTAGGGGGGACTAGATGATATGGGATATTATACATATTAGACCGGTCCGCCGAGTCAATGGGATGAATTGGGTCAATCGGTTTTGTCAAGCAGGGTACCCATTGAATGACAAAGAACAAAAGGCAAAGCTACACGGACGAAGGATCACTTGGTTAAATACCCGCCTTGGTCGAAGCACCAGGTGGTCGAACACGAATGGTCGTGAGATCGACCATCCTTTACCTCAAAGGCAGACCAACGGCTTGCCCAGATCTGGTCGAACATTAGAGCTTCTAAGGGAATCTCCAGTACATGTGCAAAGGACACGTGGCGAACTCTAATTGGTCTATGCTAGTAATGGTCTCTTATACATTCTGACACATTCCTAACGTAGGGATAATGAAGATAGTGGATCGTATGACCGGGCAGCTGGGGCAGCCAGATCAGCTGATCCAGACAGCTCCTAGGGAAGGTAATTCACCCCTATATATAGTGGTGAAGTCTTTCATTTTCACACACAATCTCATAAATACTTCAACACTTTACCACATATATTTTCATCCTCTCAAGACTGACTTGAGCGTTGAAGGATTTTCACCGGAGGAGCAAGATCGAGACGGTTCTCGGTCGGTCGGAGCGTTACACCTATATTACAATTGTAGTCGAATCCCCTCTTTCCTTATCAGATCACTTTGTTTAGGCAATTTTACTCCCAATCCTTTATTCTTTGCATCGTCCGACCAAGTCGCCTCCTGATTCCAAGTAACACATGTTTTCCAATTTCATATTCACAATTGCCTTATTGAGTTCTCTTTCACCCAACATTTCCATCAAGCCGAAATCCTTACCCACACCAAAAGTCCAAACCAATGTATCATTAAACCCCGACGACAAGGCCCTAGCCAATGGAATTTTGAATCTGGACTTTTCTTTGAACTCAGGGGACAACGTCAGTTTCGAAAAGTGGTCAGCCAAGCAATTTTCACTTCGTGAGAATTGAGCAACAGTAAAATTTCCCATATCAATTATTTCTTGAGCAACCGCCAATTTTCTGAATGTTAGAGTAGGATTTGGCGTCTTACCAGCGGCAGCATTGCAATTCTTCAAATAATCTTCCTCTGAGAGACTCCAATTCCATTTAATGGTTGTTTCCTCAGAATCAGTGCAGATATGTACCTTGCCCAGATCTAGGGCATTAACCAGCCTCAAACCCACAAGAATAGACCTGATATCACCTTCTGATATGTTAAGTAAGGGCCCTAAATATGAGGAGTACGCAGCTTTGACACTTCCATTGACGTCCTTAATAACGCCTCCGGCAGATCCATATCCAATCTTGTTCTCAATTCGAAACCAACAACATCTTTCACACGGCAGTAGAATGCGTCCGTCAAGAGGGTTTTCGTACATTCCTTGAAACTGCGACATAAATGGCTTAACATCGACGCTGATTGTTGATCGTAGACGTAGTAATGCAGAGCACTGTTTAGGCTTTAATGCGCCTATCTGATGGAAGCGATCCAGCATGGTGATTGGAGCGGGTGAGCAGTTGGGGGGACTGGTTTCGGCGTTCTATCGACGAGAGGAGGAAGATCGAGACGGTTCTCGGTCGGTCGGAGCGTTGCACCTGTATTACAATTGTAGTCGAATCTTCTATTTCCTTATCAGATCACTTTGTTTAGGCAATTTTACTCCCAATCCTTTATTCCTTGCATCGTCCGACCAAGTCGCCTCCTGATTTCAAGTAACACATGTTCTCCAATTTTATATTCACAATTGCCTTATTGAGTTCTCTTTCACCCAACATTTCCATCAAGCCGAAACCTTACCCACACCAAAAGTCCAAACCAATGTATCATCAAACCCTAGCGACAAGGCCCTAGCCAATGGAATTTTGAATCTGGACTTTTCTTTGAACTCAGGGGACAACGTCAGTTTCGAAAAGTGGTCAGCCAAGCAATTTTCACTTCGTGAGAATTGAGCAACAGTAAAATTTCCCATATCAATTATTTCTTGAGCAACCGCCAATTTTCTGAATGTTAGCGTAGGATTTGGCGTCTTACTAGCGGCAGCATTGCAATTCTTCAAATAATCTTCCTCTGAGAGACTACAATTCAATTTAATAGTTGTTTCCTCAGAATCAGTGTAGATATGTACCTTGCCCAGATCTAGGGCATTAACCAGCCTCAAACCCACGAGAATAGACCTGATATCACCTTCTGATATGTTAACTAAGGGCCCCAGATATGAGGAGTACGCAGCTTTGACACTTCCATTAGCGTCCTTAATAACGTCTCCGGCAGATCCATATCCATCTTGTTCTCAATTACGAAACCAACAGCATCTTTCACACGGCAGTAGGATGCATCCGTCAAGAGGGTTTTCGTACATTCCTTCAAACTGCGACATAAATGGCTTAACACGACGCTGATTGTTGATCGTAGACGTAGTAATGCAGAGCACTGTTTAGGCTTTAATGCGCCTATCTGATGGAAGCGATCCAGCACGGTGATTGGAGCGGGTGAGCAGTTGGGGGGACTGGTTCCAGCGTTCTACCAGCGAGAGGAGTAAGATCGAGACGGTTCAGATCACTTTGTTTAGGCAATTTTACTCCCAATCCTTTATTCTTTGCATCGTCCGACCAAGTCGCCTCCTGATTCCAAGTAACACATGTTTTCCAATTTCAAATTTACAATTGCCTTATTGAGTTCTCTTTCACCCAATTTCAATCATGCTGAAATCCTTACACACACCAAATGTCCAAACCAATGTATCATTAAACCCTAGGGACAAGGCCCTAGCTAATGGAATTTTGAATCTGGACTTTTCCTTGAACTCAGGGGACAACGTCAGTTTTGAAAAGTGGTCAGCCAAGCAATTTTCACATCGTGAGAATTGAGCAACAATAAAATTTCCCATATCAATTATTTCTTGAGCAACCGCCAATTTTCTGAATGTTAGAGTAGGATTTGGCGTCTTACCAGTGGCAGCATTGCAATTCTTCAAATAATCTTCCTCTAAGAGACTCCAATTCAATTTAATAGTTGTTTCCTTAGAATTAGTGTAGATATGTACCTTGCCCAAATCTAGGGCATTAACAAGCCTCAAACCCACGAGAATAGACCTGAATCACCTTCTGATATGTTAAGTAAGGGCCCTAAATATGAGGAGTACGCAGCTTTGACACTTCCATTAGCGTCCTTAATAACGCCTCCGGCAGATCCATATCCAATCTTGTTCTCAATTACGAAACCAACAGTATCTACGACACGGCAGTAGGATGCGTCCGTCAAGAGGGTTTTCGTACATTCCTTGAAACTGCGACATAAATGGCTTAACATCGACGCTGATTGTTGATCGTAGACGTAGTAATGCAAAGCACTGTTTACGCTTTAATGCGCCTATCTGATGGAAACGATCCAGCACGGTGATTGGAGCGGGTGAGCAGATGGGGGGACTGGTTCCGGCGTTCTACCGGCGAGAGGAGGAAGATCGAGATGGTTCTCGGTCGGTCAGAGCTTTACACCTGTATTACAATTGTAGTTGAATCTTCTCTTTCCTTATCAGATCACTTTGTTTAGGAAATTTTACTCCGAATCCTTTATTCTTTGCATCGTCCGACCAAGTCGCCTCCTGATTCCAAGTAACACGTGTTTTCCAATTTCATATTCACAATTGCCTTATTGAGTTCTCTTTCACCCAACATTTCCATCAAGCCGAAATCCTTACCCACACTAAAAGTCCAAATCAATGTATCATTAAACCCCAGCGACAAGGCCCTATCCAATGGAATTTTGAATCTGGACTTTTCTTTGAACTCAGGGGACAAAGTCAGTTTCGAAAAGTGGTCAATCAAGCAATTTTCACTTCGTGAGAATTGAGCAACAATAAAATTTCCCATATCAATTATTTCTTGAGCAACCGCCAATTTTCTGAATGTTAGAGTAGGATTTGCGTCTTACCAGCGGCAGCATTGCAATTCTTCAAATAATATTCCTCTGAGAAACTCCAATTCAATTTAATAGTTGTTTCCTCAGAATCAGTGTAGATATGTACCTTGCCCAGATCTAGGGCATTAACCAGCCTCAAACCCACGAGAATAGACCTGATATCACCTTCTGATATGTTAAGTAAGGGCCCTAGATATGAGGAGCACGCAACTTTGACACTTCCATTGGTGTCCTTAATAACGCCTCCGGCAGATCCATATCCAATCTTGTTCTCAATTACGAAACCAACAACATCTATCACACGACAGTAGGATGCGTCCGTCAAAAGGGTTTTCGTACATTCTTTGAAACTGCGACATAAATAGTTTAACATCGACGCTGATTGTTGATCGTAGACGTAGTAATGCAGAGCACTGTTTAGGCTTTAATGCGCCTATCTGATGAAAGCGATCCAGCACGGTGATTTGAGCGGGGGGGACTCTATTTTTTTTTAGGGGCGATCGCTGCCAATGCTTCTCGGGTGTCTTCAGTTATGCAGCCCTTTTGGCACCAGCGGATGGGTCATCCCTCTTCTATTCTTGGTCAATTGTCTTTTGTCGAGTCTCGCTCCTTGGTCTTGAATAAAACTTGTGATGTTTGCTGTCGGGAAACAATATCGTGCTAGCTTTCCTCTTAGTCAAAGTGTCAGCTATTCCATCTTCAGTCTGATTCATTGTGATGTGTGGGGACTGTATAGAGTTCCTGCCTTTAGTGGTGCTCGATATTTTTTAACAATTGTTGACGACTATTCTCGCGGTACTTGGATTTTCTTATTGGATGAAAAATTTTTGGTGTCTTCCACTTTACTGCAATTTTTTGCTTTTTTCAAAAGGCAATTTGGTGTGTTGGTTAAACTCTTCGCAGTGACAATGGAACTGAATTTACTCGTATGCGTGATTATTTTCGTCAACAGGGGATTGTTCATGAAACTTCTTGTGTCGGAACTCCTCAACAAAATGGACGTGCTAAGAGCAAACATCAGCACATTCTTAATGTTGCTCGAGCATTACGCTTTCAAGCCAATTTACCGATTGAGTTCTGGGACATTGTGTACTTGCTGTTGGCTATTTGATTAATCGAACGCCTACTCCTCTTTTATCCGGCAAGACTCCCTATGAACTTTTGTATGGAGAACCTCCCAACTATGCGCACTTACGTGTTTTTGGTTGTCTGTGTTACGTGCACAATCAGAACAGTCAATGTGGCAAGTTTGCAAGTCAGAGTCGTCGATGTGTTTTTGTTGGCTATTCATCTGGTCAAAAGGGGTAGTGTGTTTATTATTTGGACAGCCGTACTTTTCTGGTCTCGTGGTGTGAAATTCTGTGAATCAGAGTTCGCTTATTTGACGTCTCCGGCTCTTGACACTGCCATCGTACTTGTGGTTCCATGGCCTGCTGTTTCTGAGGATGATGATACTATAGTGATTCCACTACGACGCGTACCGCTGACACTGGGGTTCTGAAGTCATTTTTTATAGAGGGTAATCCTCCTCAAGAGGAAGTGCTGGGCCGTGGTCATCGTCTGAAGAGGCCCTCTTCCCGTCTTACCGACTTTGTCTCTCACACTATTTGTTCCTCGTCCCCACACTCTGCCTCCTCAATCACGTCATCGTCTGGTACTCCTTACCCTCTCGCATACTATGTTTCTTGTGATTCCTTTTCACATGTACATCAGTCATTTCTGGCAGCCATTTCTTCTGTTGTTGAGCCTCAGACCTTTTCTGAGGCTGTTCGAGATAGTTGGTGGCATTCGGCTATGCAACTGGAGATTCGAGCATTGGAATCGAATCATACTTGGGATATTGTTGCTTTTCCTACTTGGAAACACGCGATTGGTTGCAAGTGGATTTACAAGATTAAATATAACTCTGATGGTTCTGTTGAGCGCTACAAGGTGCGTTTGGTCGTCTTGGGTAACCGGCAGGTGGAGGGCATTGACTATCAGGAAACGTTTGCACCTGTCGCCAAGATGTTTACTGTACGGATTTTTCTTGCTGTTGCAGCTGCTCGACATTGGGAGGTTCATCAGATGGACGTGCACAATGCATTCTTACATGGGGATCTGTCTGAGGAGGTCTGCATGAAGCTTCCTCCTAGTTTTCATTCACCTGATCCTGGTAAGGTGTGTCGATTACTCCGTTCCCTGTATGGTTTGAAGCAAGCTCCTCGGTGTTGGTTTGCGAAGCTTGCTTCTGCTCTACGACACTATGGTTTTCAGCAGTCATATTCTAATTACTCATTGTTTGTTTTTCATCGTGACTCATTGACTTTACATGTTCTGGTATATGGTGATGATCTGATCATTTTTGGAAGCGATCCAGTCGCCATAATTGCCGTTAAGGATTATTTGGGTCGTTGTTTGAAGGATTTGGGTTTGTTGAAATATTTTTTGGGTATTGAGATTGCCAGGAATTTTTCGAGCATTTTCTTGTGCCAGCGGAAGTACACTCTTGACATTGTGATCGAGACCGGTCTACTTGGCGGTAAATCGGTGGACTTTCCCATGGAACATAATCACCAGCTTCCCTTAGCATACAATCTTCTCTTTTCTGACCCCGAGCGTTACCGGCGTCTCATTGGGCGATTGATCTATTTGACAGTCACTCGTCATGACTTGTCTTATGCGATTCATATTTTGTCTCAGTTCATGCAGCAACCTCGTCAGGCCCATTGGGATGCTGCTCTTCGGGTAGTTCGTTATTTGAAGGGTACTCCGGGTCAGGGTATTCTTCTTCATTCAGATTGTGACTTGCAGATTTACGGTTGTTGTGACTCTAACTAGGCGACTTGTCCCACTACACGCCGTTCTCTTCCGTGCTGGTTTGTCTAGCTTGGTCATTCACCCCTTTCTTGGCGCTCTAAGAAACAACACACTATAGCCCGGTCTTCTGCCGAGGCCGAGTATCGAGCTATGGCGACCCTTACTTGTGAGTTGAAATGGTTGAAGGGTTTACTTCACAACCTTGGCGTCACTCATTCTCAGCCCATGCGGATTCATTGTGACAGCCAAACAGCTCTGCACATTGCTGCTAATCCTGTATTTCATGAGTGCACGAAGCATATTGAAGTCGATTGCAATATGTCGATTGTCATTTTCTTCGTGATGCTCTTGTTCGAGGTCTCATTTCTACCGCTCATGTTTCCACTCATTCAATTGACGGACATCTTCACCAAGGCCTTGGGAAAACGAGAGTTTGATTTTTTTCTTGGCAAGTTGAGCATCCGGAATCCGCATGCTCCAACTTGAGGGGGGGTGTTAGAGTGATTTTGTGAATATTGTATTTATGGTATAGATAGATTTTGGTATCTTAGAGTTTTGGTGTATAGTGGTTTTAGGACTTCCTTTGTATATTTATATCCGGCTCTTGTGAATCTCGGTGGAGTAAGGTTTTGGGAAACGAATTAGTTTTCATATATTTGTCAAGCGACCTTCGCCGGAGGCCTCGACCACGCTACAGGACCGGCGACCCGAACGGCTCAAAGAACTCACCTTGAATGGAAACGCGGAAGCCGGGAGAACGCCTGACGCCACGGCCACGCGAACGGGTTCCAACCAAACGTCGGTCAACCCGCGGAGGAGGAGGGCTAAATCATATGTTGAGAGGTTTGTAAGGAATATAACGATGCTTAGTTCAAATCCACGCTGAGACCATTTTTACAATGTAAGTTGGTCTACTACTAATTTGAAATATTGTTCGATAAAGAATTACTATTTTCGTATATTACTTTATTCATTTATAGTAATTCAATATAAATATAAAGCTTTTAAAAAATATTTTCATGTAATTCTAAAATTAAATTATAAATATATTGGTATAACTTTTTCAATAAATAAATTTTAAGATAAATCAAATACCTAAAATATAAAAATAATAAAACATAAATAAAAAAATGTAGAGCAATGAATCATGTCGCGCCAAAATTGTTCATAACTCTAAAATAGTGTAGAGATGTAGCACATTATTGTATTGTAATTTTATCAAAACTTTAGCATTTTACGGTGGAGTAACGCATCATTGAAGTTGTTCTCATAGTAGATGATCTCTAGAACAAATAGTTGAGGGGGGAAAGCAAAAACATCAGAGATTGTATAATTTAGCTAGTAAAGAATTTTATTTTAGGAGACATCAACTGACTTGAAATATAAAATAGAANCAAACTAGGTGAAAAGTCAAATCAGTTTCGTGGCAATGGCTTGTTTTGGGGTCCGAGAGACATTGACATATTTAGGGTTTGTTTGTACACAAATAAATCAATTTTTAAGTGGTATTTTTGGTCTTTTTTTTTTCAAAACAATAATAATATTATAAACTAAAAAAACTCAAAAAGAAAACACCGAAATGTCAAATGACACACGGGAATCAGAACAAAGTCTGGACCAACCCTCTTGGAATTACAAAGAAGCACCCACAAACAAAATAGAAACTCCAAAAAGGAGACAGAAAACTTCATAAAGGAGACTAGAACCATCCATGTACTTAATTCTGCTGGCTTCATTCTGCTTCAAGGGGAAACATTGGGAAACTAACAATACAAACAGAATATGTACTTAATTTTATTGTACGTTTGTAGCACAAAGCGGTGCCTCTATGCCTTCATAAGGATGTCCCAAAAAATAGAAAGTAAATTTACATTGCCGAAGGTTTTATGCAAGATAAATGTTCAAAAGACAAAAAAAGAGTGTATATTTATGTACTTACATCCTCAATCTCATTATTCGTGTCCATGTCTTGAGAGGGAGCAATCAGTTAGCCTCACATAGGCCAGTAGCTGGATCACAAAAGCCATCCCTGTCAAGGAGTTTCTGAGGAGGGGCACTTAGCAGTGGTGAAGATGGGGAACCATACGCATTTCGTCTGCTATTCCCACAACCGAGGCTTTTTCGGGTGCTTACTCCTGTTATTGGATTCGTCCCACTTGCATATTTACAAAGAGCCTGCATTATAAAAGACATTAAGAAAAAAGGGCCTTACAAATGGCCCAAGAACGAAGCACATGTATAACCATATGTTGACAACTCAGATTAAGCAGTTATGAAACAGAACAAAATTCATATTCCAAGTTCAAGACAAATTTTCCAGCATAAACCTGCTTTTGAGGGAGGTCCAAAACAGCATCACTAAAATCAGCACCGTCAATTTTAGCTCCCCCAAGATCACTTCGGGTCAGGACTGATCTAACTAACACTGCGTTTGTCAGATTAGCTTCATTCAGAACCTGAAATGAAAATCAAATTATAAAAAGAAAAAAAAATTAAAATAGAGACTACTAATTTGTTTTGTTTCAAAATTCTAACAAAAAAGATGTCACAGAAATTTGATTTATATTAGCATAAGACCATGTAACCAAAAAGATAAGGGGCTACAAGCATGTGTGTTGGCTTACCATGCGATCCATTAGAGTGTCACTGAGATCTGCACCTGCAAAATGACGCGGTTTGCCAAATCATCATGTGGTTAAAGAGAGAGATCGTGCTAGAATTGTTAAAATTATGGATTTTGAGTTATTTGAGGAAGGCATGAAAGAAATAGAGAAGCAGCACATCTTGAGCAATCATCATTATTCACTTATTAGTCTTGACTTATCCATTTCATCCTGAAACATGGGATCATCATATCCCTAAAGTATTCCTCAAAAATGGAAACTTCGTTTTAACGTCTTCTGCTAGTTAATTTTGCATATCTGTAAATAATTTTAGATGACATGTGAAAGTTCATCAAACGTTTTATTTACCAGTTAAGATTAGTCATTGTCTGAAGCACTCAGAATCAGTGGGAGCACTAATTTACAGCAAGATGTAGTCATATTGTTCCATATTTGCAATACAGATCTGACATGTGAAAGTTCATCAAACGTTTTATCTACCAGTTAAGATTAGAGAAACATTATCTGAAGCATTCAGAATCAGTTGGAGTACTAATTTACAGCAAGATGTATTCATATTTTTCCATATTTGCAATATACATCCTTTTTATAAGCTTATTATGATCGGACACAAAAATACACAAATCCCAAGATCGTGTCGGAATATGAACAGAAAACAGCTATCTAAAGCCTGTATCTCGCTCCCTAAGCTAATGCTTAAAAGGCAAAACGTTATAGTTTCCAATAGATGGTTAAATTCCATGTAGCCATCTTTGCTCCTTGAAATTTCAATTCTTCCAATATGTGTTTATAGTCCAACAAAATCAGGAAACTGAAACGTACCAGAGAAATTGGCTTTATACGCGACTGCTTTCTCAAGGTAAGCACCATTGAAAGTCGAGCCACTGAAATCTGATTCCCTCATATCAGCAGCTGTGAAATTGGCTCTTCTGTATCAGCCATTTCAACAATAATATGAATATAAAATTTTCAAATATCTCAGTTCTATTTCACTTCAAGAACAGAACTTTATCATGAGAACCGTATATTTCAAAGAACACTCATCTTGTCAAGGCTCCCAAGGCAATGTAGCTTAATTCAGAACATTTTTTTTGAGTTCTAAAGATACACAATGAAGTTTTCAGTAGTAACATACAAATGAAAATGTATTTCACTCTTTTGGCACAAGGCGTGCTTACACACAAATTACCTGTAAAACTGGGGGAAAAAAAGGACAGATATTACCTGAAATTTTCATTAACATGTACAGCTTTCCTGCAAAACACACAAATTAACTAACATCCTAAAATCTGGAAACAAATAATTATGTATGAACACGAAACTAATGGCATCGAAACGGACTTGAGATCTGCAGAGCCAAATTGGGCTGCTGAGCCAATTCCGAACTCGCCCCTTGTTTCAGCTTCAAACTTATTGAGCTCAGCCAAGGCGGATATGTTGGCAGAACCAAGAGCAATCACAGCCGCAGCCGCCAATGAAGTCGAAACAAACTTTCTCCACCTCTTTCGTTCTGCGACCCATATAGGCAAATTAACAAATTCATTCGCAAACTTTACATGTGATTGTAAGAATCACGGACTATTTCTGGGTTAACGATTCGAAGATCACCTGTATCGCTTCTTTTGGTCGGAGCATCCAGTCGACAGGTGACGGAAGAGGGTTTTAAGCGCTTGGAAGAGGAATTGAGGGATTTTTCAGGGCGAGACGATGACGAAGAAATGCGACCAACAGATTTGAGAGGTAATGAAGAGATCGAAGCCATGGTAGCCATTTCATTCAAGCGCGAGCTATAAAGATTTTTGTTGCAGTTGGTTAGTTGAAGAAGATAATGGATATTGGTAACTGGGTACTGTGCCACGTGTTGCTCCGAATTAAATTGACACCTAAATGGCTAAATCTTGTGTGTATTTTTTTAATCAGATAAGCATAAAATTGAACCGGAATATTTTCTGATTTTGACGTCGATAATTTATCTTGTCAGGATTATGATTGGATACAATCTTTTAGCTCAAAATTTAATTTTCATCTAATTCAAATTAACCATTGATTGGATACTTAGCTTATGTACTTGAACAAATTTGGGCTTTTCTCGGTATAGTCCTTTGACCCCCAACTAACCAGGGGTCGGCAGGCCCAATGGGTTTACAAACACATGGAATAAGGTCACAGTTTTAATGTATAAAAACCGTATGGGCAATTTTCATTTATACACAGCGTTTCTTAATTTATTGTAAGATTACCAAAGAGATTAATTTATTTGCAAGTTTACCTAATGCATGGAAATTAATTGAGATAATACCTAATTTCGGTTACCTCAACAAATAGAGATCAATGTCCTTAAATGTCGCGTTTTGTTAGTCAGCCGTTATTTTTGCACAGATAAGATATGTACTCAGCCATTATCGATTTGATGTTTATATATATATATATATATGTATATATATTGGGTTTATATACAGAACATATACAGAACATATACTAAAAAATAACATCAGATCCAGGCGAACATATACTGGAGATGTGTATACCGAACATATACAGAACATATACTGAAAATAACTCCAGGTCTAGGTGTCGAGTTGTTTATAAATCTCATGAATTTCATTCCAAAACCATGAATATTCAATCCAATTGCAATGTGGAAAAAAAACAAAGAGAGGGAGAGAGAAGGGAGAAGAAGAGATAGGAGGGAGAGAGAAAGAAAAATACAGAGATAGAGGGAGAGAAAGGAAGGATTCCACCGATCCGAAAAAAAAAACAGAGAGAGAGAGAAGAAGGGAGAAGAACAGATAGGAGAGAGAGAAAGTCTACCTTTAATTATGTTGATCAGTTAATTGCATACTTCAATTAATTATTTAGTAATTTTTCAATTAATGTTATGCATATGGTAATTTTGCAATAAAAAGTGATGTGTTGTATATGGTGTAATTTTCTCAAACCGTATACAGATCCTCTAAATAATTCATATTATCAACTTAGTTAAACCATCATAATTTAGGAAACAAAATTTATATTTTATTATGAATGTGATGTACAACATAACATTCAAATATATATATATATATAATATAATTCCTATAGTAATGCTATATCTTTTAAAATAACACAAAACTACCCAATAGTTTGATTTAAATTCAACACACCTAAGTACTTTATCCCTGTTCTGATTGTGAGACTAGAGCTGTCATCCGATTAATGAAATCTCGATTGACTCATTTGTTTACTATAACAACCTGAGTTGAGCCTGTGAATACCTTTTTCTTTTTCATTCTTCTTTCTTTATACAAGTTTCAAACAAATAAATCAAGTCGAACATATTTGAAGCCATTTGCTGCAAAGTTGAGGAGGAAATTGTTGGTCACAATGGAGGAGAAACCTCATGAAGACTTGGATGTCCTTATTGGCCTCAAACGAGCTTTGGTGCCTGTGTAACTATTGTTCTGTTATGAATTATGATCACTAAAGAGTTATCTCTTTCTGCAAGTTGAACTATGTGTCAGGAAGCAAAAAGACTCCTTGCATTTGTGAAATATGTAATGTAATTTGTGTCTGACTTACGTTATCACATTGAGGGTTGTAAATTTATAGGAGAAAATGATATAAATTTACGAGGTAACCGTAACGCGAGCACCACTTAAATAACAGGCACATCATCGTATAGAATATAATACATTCTATGGTTACTTATTTTTTCAGAGATATAAAATGTTTGATTCAGGCATCCTCCTAAAATGACAAATTGAATAATCTCTTTCCTTTATTTTATTTTTGTGAAGGTGTGCTCAATGCAACTCATGAGATCGGCATTAGGTATTTTCACACCACAAAGGCAACAAAACATCGCAGGGAGCTAAATAGTTGAGAACAACATTACTCATTGGTCCCCAAACCATTTGATGGCTAGGGAGAACCACAACATTACGTATGATGTGTTTGGTAAAGCATCATAAACTAGCTTATAATTTATTTGATTAGCTTATAAGTTTCCTCTTGTATGTAAATAAACTTGATTTGTAGGACATCTTGTATTTAAAAGTTTGAGTTTATCTCATAAGTTTCTTTGGGTAGTTTTTCAAATAAGTTCGTTGAGATTTTTATTTCAGCTGACTTATAAATTAATTTACTAAACACTTTTATCATATCAGCTAGCTCTCAGCCATCAGTCGTAAGCTATTAGCTATCAGCTAGTTTATTGACTGATTGTAACCTAGGTTTACCAAACATAGCCTTATTGGTCTCCAAGCCATTTGGTGGATAGGGTTCTTCAACCTGTTAGCATAAATAGAATCTTCATCTAGTAACACCAAAAATTTGACAGATTTCCTTAATTTTCTTGTTAATTCTTTTTTCTTTCATGTTACTTCATACGCCCCATCATTTATGTGGTTTATGTCTTCTGCGCTACCGGATACAAATTCCAACTTATGTAAACAAGGCGTACATCCTCTGTGGACCACTGTCTAATGACAGCCAAGTATGTTATCTTTTCTTTTGTGAACCATCACACATTGTCAGATTCTGAGATTTTTTTATGAGAAGGTACCATGTAATTGTCGAGAAATGGCTCCATTCTATTAACTGGGTTGAAAATGAAATTAGTTCATATATTAGCCTCATATCTCCATTACCACTGCACAATATTAAGCATTCAAACCCAAGTTCACCAAGACAGTAGAATAAGTATTGGCTATCTAGACCAGAAAATTGGCAAAAGGCAGCCACCATCAATTACTGTAGTCTTGGTTAGACTATACTGCTCTAGCTTGAGAATTCTGAAGTATATCATCTGTTGAATGGTTATAAATCCGAATAAGATACCTAAACAACATTTAAATCAGCACAGATAAATGATAAAGGCCCTACATGCAGCTCAAGATATTATCTCTCTCTCTCTCTATATATATGTGTGTGTGTGTGCACTTTTACAAAGCTTTAGACACAAAACACTCAAATAAGCATTTAAATAAGTGGACTGAAGGAATCGTGAAGGATAATAGCTAGTTTCATTTCACTTCATTAAAACGCTCCAAAAACTGGGGCGAGTCTCATTATTTCCCCTTTATCTACTTCTCGAAACACATTCCTCCACTTTCATCACGCCAACAATCAAAGAGGATGAGAATTACTAACAGTAATCAGATCGTTATAGTCACGAATTGATTTCATGTAATGCGCTACATTCTTGATATGCAGCATCAGGCAATTGAAGTAAATACCATCCACCAAATATAGAAAATAAAGAGCTTTATCATACATTCGAAATTATCACCCCAAGCTTAAAACCAAAGGTTAAAATTGATTGATTGTAAATCAATATTAAAATGACGAGCATTCAGAGGAAATAAACCACCAAAACACGGTGTTTGAATCTTGAAACACAGAAAAACAGAAAACGTGTACCATACACTTGGCAAATCAGAAGAATTCATTTCTTTTCAGGTTCCTCCTCCTTACCTCCATAACGGCGTTTGAATTTTGCAATTTGGCCAATGCTTTGGGCCATCTGCCTTTTTGCTCGGAAATGGTATACTTTGCCGACCTGATGAATCTTGGTCATCGTCACATTCATCAAACGGCCACTTTGGGTCACGTACGATATCCATTGAAGCTGAGGGTGAATCCCTTTCTTCATTTTTTCCTCTACCAAAACCCAAAGGAAAAAAAGAAGGAAAATTCAGAACTGAATCTCATTTTAACCACACGAATAAATGAAGAGCTAATTGTTACTAAATGGGATTATTAGATAGAAAGTTAAAAGCTCATTGCCGACAGATAATAGAAGTTTCAGCTGAGGCCGATCCTTTGCCGCATTCTGAAACATCCTTAAGGCGGAATTGAGATCGGCTTTAGGGCAAAGCCAAACTACGAATCATAGGACAAGATTCGAAATTCAAATTATTGAACATGGAGGGTTTAATGGCGATGAATTGAAAAGAATAAATAGACTGACCTTAGGTCTTGGTGACTCTCTGCCGAGCGATCACCAAAGTCGGTAGGGTTTTAAACTGGAGTGTGAAAAAGCTCACAGTACCAATATGTCGTGTGGTTGTTTATGAAATATTTCAAAATGAGTTATTTTAATTAATTAGAGTTAATTTTGAAAAAGGTAGTATAATTAATTGTTAGTGGAATTTTAAGAATGTATTAAAATAATATTTAAAATAAAATGATTAAAATTGATTTGATGTAAAAGTAAGAGATAAATGATTGAAAATTATTAAAAATGATAAATGGATGAATAGTGAACTAAAGTTGATGTGATGTGTAAGAATGATTGGTTTGTATTATTTAATTATATGAATAATATTAAAGATAATGAGATTGAGTTAAAGTTGAGTTAAATTTTGAGTATGAATTGAAATGAAATAATTTGTAAACAAGCATGCCCAAAACATTACACTTTTACAATGCTCAATTGCTCATGCACATCAGCACATACTTGTTAAGAAATTATATTTAAAATTAAATAATAATAAAAATGTTTTAGTTTTTAAACACTTTCTTTAAAAAATATATTATTATTTATATTTAAAATGACATTGTTACTTACATAACTTACCATCTTATATTTATATATTTTTTAAATTTATATCAGAAAACTACTTTGTAGTTAAGTTAGTTTAAATAATTTTATTTTTTTGAATAAATATTAATAGGTAATTTAATTTTAATTATAAAGATAAATAAAATTAATTTTATTTTTTATGTATATTATAGATGTCAAATCAAAGTTCATCACGACATGATTAATTTGATATATTATAAATAAGAAATTGCCAATAACTAAAAAATTTATTAACTTTTAAATATACTTATAATTTAAGTTATTAAATTTGTTATAATTTAAAAAGAAAAAATATGAGGAAAAAAAGAAAGATTGGAAAAAAAAAGTATACCTTATAAACCACGTCTACAATAAAAAAATAATATTAAGACATAATTAACATAAAAAAGACTATAAATATCCAGTATATTGATGGATATTCCAAGCCTATTTACTTTTGGATTGGAATAAATTAAAATTCATCCAAGTCAAACAATAAAATTTAAGAATTTGTCACATATAATCCCGAAACGTGCGAGTCTGCCACTTAGGCTCAGCACATTCGGGAATTATATATAGGGGAATTTTGTTCTTGGACTAGGTAGGGGAAAATTTTTCGTTTATGTACCTTAAATTTAGGATAAATAATAATATTGCAATTTGTATTGAATTTAGGGTGTGGAACATAAAGAACTTTTTGTATTAAATTGCAACTTTTGATATATGATTTGTCTATATCGCAACATCCGGTCATTGGCGCCCACTTTCCACCGGAAAAGCGAGCGTGTGAGACAATTTACCAAATTTGAGGGCAAACATGTCACTTCATCTCTCTTTCTTCTTCCTTTTTCATCATCTCTCTCACACACACAATCAAATTTGATGGCACCGCCATCCGCCATAAGGCCTGGGAAAAGAAACCTTACTTTGTTGTCGACGGAGTCTCCCATAATCAAATTTGAGGGCACTACCATCCATCGCAGCTCCTAGGAAAAGGACCCTACTCTAACGCTGGTGGAGTCTCCCGCAGTCAAATTTGACTTCAATCTGGACGGACTTGCTGAAATCGCCTAAGAAAAAAAAGAAGAAGAAATTTCAAGAAATGTGTTCGAAAATTTTCTTCGCTCTATTCATCTTCTTTCTCTTCCCCCCATCATCCCTTGCAACCCCATTTTTCCTTCCAACAACTCACACTATGGCGGAGCTTTCTTGAACTCCACCTCCATTGTCCTAACGGACGGAGGAGAAGAACTACACCTTCCTCCTACTTCCTCCGTTCTTCCCGCCGTCTGGAGAGCGTTATGCGTTAGCCTAGTTGATTCCTTGGCCCCGTGGCTGACTCCGCCGTCTCTCTCTCATGTATTTTCTCTTTCGTCATCGACGAGGCAAGTTCTTGTCGGCTAGAGACGGATTCTCATTATTGATCACTTTAGAAGGCGCAAATTTCACGGACCTCTACTATGGCTACATGAGCCTCCGATTTTCTCGTCATGGAAATCGACAATTAATTTGACTGTGTGAGAGAGAGTGTGTGTAAGAGAGAAGATGGAAGAGAAATAAGAAATAGAGATGAAATGACATTTTTACTCTCAAAATTGGTAGGTGAGTCTCGCACGCTCGCTTTTCTGGTGGAAAATTGGCCGCCGATGGTTAGTAGTTGCGATATAGACAAACTTATTAATATATAATAGAGAGAGAGAGAGAGAGAGAGACATTTACTTGAAATAGTATTAAAATTCCCACTTAGAAATTTCAAAGTTAGTATTTGTTGTGTACAAATTGTTATATTTTACCGAGTACCGAATCAAGGATTCATTTCCCGGGTCGATCTCTTGAGGAAGGCGGTTCGGAATTTAGCTTTGGTATCGCTAACACACAAAAAGAAAATAAATCCTAAACACTCTAATCAGATAGCAGTTTGGATAAATTATTAACTAAGAAATAAAAATAAAACAATAATCTACCTAAAAATATAAACGAATAAAAGATGTAGAAGCTAGAGAATCGGGAACAATTAATTCAAGTTCTATTTGCACACTGGGACATTAATCATTCTATTCTAGATTGACGCTCTCACTTAAGTATCTAGCGGTTCGCTCCCAATAACTCTTCGTAACAAGGGATTGAACATAGATGAACAAACTTGAGCATACGACACAAGCCAATTATCCCAATCCCAATAACTATTCATAACAAAAGACGGGTCATCGACAAGCACGTATTTCAATCCAAAACTTTATAGACTATTCAATTACGAAATCATCTACCTCATGCGAGCCTAAGTCTACGACTTCTCCCCTTTCGGTTCTAAAAGTCACTAATTAAATTAGAAGAGAGTTAATCGACTAATCATATAGAATCAACAAAACCCTAACTCGACTAATCAACATTCAATTGTTTCCAATTGCAAGATCGAAGTGTCACTCTTCGATTATATCAATCAATCAAACAAGATTTCATCAATTCGTAATCAAATCAACCCGCACAAGAACGAACAAATCAAGCCCGACAAATACACGTTAAACGAGAAAAATCATTCCATATCCCTAGCAATCAGAATTAGCTATGTATATCGAGTTCAACACATATAATCATTCTTCTCAAATCAATTAACCATTATTCATGAATTAATAAAGAGAGAAAAACTTACAATAAATCCCAAATTCAAGTGTTGAATCCCAAAATACAAAGTTCAATCCTTGATTACTACGAAGAAGAAGAAAAAAAAATGGAAAAGAAAGATGAAGAGAGGAGGAAAAACGAAAAAGAAGAAGGAGAGGAGAAGAAAGGAGTTCCGTGATGTTTTTACAGGCCTAGGGTTCGTCCCTAGGAGGGGGAGAATATCTGTGTTGAAGTTCCGATCTGATATTTATAAGCAGCAGGGTGTCCGGGCGTGATATAGTGCCACGGCACGAGGCGCACATCTGCCGCAGCGTGAAGGGACCATCGCTGCGTGACGCTGGGGAAGATGGAAGTCTCTGCTTGTCCGTGACGTGGAGGAAGTGTGTGGCGTGGCGTGGGGCTGTTTCGTGCCGCGGAGGGGGTCAGTGCCGCGCCACGGCGCGCAGGGCTCCTGGTTGGTCTACCCGTTTCGGGCTCATTTGGGCTCGTCCGAACTCGGAATTGAGTTCCGTTTTTTCCTATACGTCGCTAACAAACTTTTCTATTAATCTATGCGCTCGAAACAAACTTTTTCTGAAGAGAAAGTTTGCCCAAAGCTCCCGACCTACACACCAAAAAGGACAAAACACGAAGAAAACCGGAAAAACAAACGAAAAACACCTAAGGACTCAAAATGAAGGAAAACACATAATAAAACACAAAACGGACTAAAAACTAATGAAACGACCTAATATGGGGGATAAACAAAGATAAAATAAACACGAAAAAATGCAACAAAAATGGGACAAACACTATACTTAGTATTTTTTATTTTTTTATTTTTGGAAAATGGCGCCTGAATGAAAATTCGAATTCAAATTTTAAAAAAATTATTATTTAAGAAAAATATTGTGTAAATCTTAATTCCTAAATATGGGCAATGATTTCCTTAAATATTACGAGTAAATCTGGCCAATAATGAGAAAGAATATTAAAAATCTTGCTTTAAAAAAATCCAGCCAATCATTACCTTAAGTTTTTTCGGTCAAATGTGCAAATTTAGTTACAAAAATCTGGTCAATCATTTAACGAATAAAACGTTTGATTTTTATTTTTGTTTGAAATCTTTCTGAAAAATCATGTCAACTTAATTGTTAAATATTTTTTATCCATACTTGTCTATTTACAAATCTCATATTTTATGGTCATAATCAAAAATCCAAATTTAATTAATAAATAATGTTAATTTTAGAAATTAATTTTTATATTTCGAATTGTTCAACTTCATTGATGATTTTTTTGTCCAAATTTATCTAACTACAAAATCTTCTTAAGTTTAGAAAGAACTCATATTATGTGGATTCTTGGTAGATACCGGTTCAACCAGCTATAACGCGCCCGGAACCCAGGACCGACTTTTGACCTTGTCTAGCCACAGCACAAGTGCACAACCGACTCACAAGCCCTAATTTTCAAGAATATCTTTGTACTCAACTACTCTGCTCGTGACTTCGTCTCCCGCACGTTGCACACACTTCGGTCGGCGTCGAAGCTCGCACACCCGCACATACTCCACTAGACGGTCATCTCGACGTCTCCTACAAACTCTCATACAACCATCAATGAGTTCGTCACCCAAATCTCTTCGCATGGGCTGCTAGGCTTGTCAAAATGGGCCAGGGCCCGTGGGCCAGTCAGCCCCACCCCACCTAATAAGTGGGTTACGTTGATGTTTTAAAGGCCCACCAACAAGCGGGCCTATACGGACTGGCTCGCGGGTCATGGGTTTTGGCAGGCTGGGCCAGGCGAGCCACGGGCCAGCCCGCCATTAAATAAAACAAAAAAAAAATGATTCAAGTAAAATCACAAATACACAATAGCACTTTACACACTATTCATTATACATAACGCAAATAAGTGTCAATAACACTTACAGTACTTCACGCACGCTTCTGTTCTTTAATTATTTTCTTTTCCTTTTTTCTAAGTTTTTTTTTCTTACCTCACAACACAGTCACCAGAGACGGGCCTTGTTCGTTTTTCCCTTTGCTAACCCTAACCTCATCCTCAACTATCATTTCCTCAAGCGGCAGGAGCAATCCTACAGACCTCTGCAGCCCCACCGGTGAACGGTGTGCGGCGGCGACCTTGGAGCGGCGACGGCGACGGCGACCGACGGATTCGAGCGGCGACCGACGAACGACGAGAGGCGAGCGGGCCAGCGACAGCGACTCCAAGCAGCAACTACAACGGAAACGTCGGCAAGGCTTTCTTCAGGTAGTGATGGCTGAACATATTCTCAAAATGAAGTGTGATTTAAGATTTGAACTGATTTGTTGATTTCGGTTTTATTGAATTTTGAATTCTTAAAATGAAATGGCTGAACCTGAAATTCTCTAATTCTGAAATGAATGTGGTTTATGACTATTGAATGATTTATGTTTAAATTCATATTCTCCCAGGTTTTTGTGCATTTGTATTTTGTTCCCAGCACCAGGTTTAACAATGGTCACTGTTTAGTACTTTTTTTTTTTCATCTACATGAGGCGGGCTGGCCCGCCTAGCCCGCGGCCCGTGGTGGGGTTGGGCCGGGCTGCCATTTCACAGGCCTGCTGAGATGGCGGGCCGCCCCGTCCCGTCCAGCCAAACGGCGGGTTTTGACGGGCTGCGGTCCTGCCCGGCCCGGCCCGCTAAACGGCAGGTTTTGGCGCCGGCCCGTTTTGACATGTCTATGTACTGCACCTCAGAACCATGTTCGTCTTTATTTTTATTTTTTTTATATTTATCCGTTTTCTTGTACTGATTTGATGATGACCTGTTACTGATTTATGGGTGCTATTCCAAATTTTCACAATCCCAGAGAAGATTGAAAGTAGGTTATAGAGAAGTCTGAGTTTTGCTGTTAGTCTGGACTTGGTCAAGTTAGTGAGTTACACAAACACTCAATTGTTCAATTAATGTAAGTAGGTTATATAGAAGTTCGAATATCTTGATAATTTTTGTCAATTTTAATTTATGTAATAAGCTCGAAAGCATTCAGGGGCATAGTTGGTGCAATTACTCGTGTATTGTGTTAAATGAATAATTGCATTTTTGTACTTATTGAGATGTGATACTTAGGACATGGTTTAAGGACTCCTCGCCAGAGTGATATCGCCCCATAAAAAAGGGTGTATTCTTAAAGTAATGATAAAGATTTAGTTAAATACTTAAATTTAATTCTGTTTGTGTTTGGGATTTCAGTTTCAAGAGGTCTAGGTTGATGTTTTATCAGTATTCATTGAAACACAAGTGTTTTTTTCTTCATATTCTACTCATTTTCTTTTTTAAATCTAAATAAACCTGAATGGGGTGGGAATGTTGTATCAGGTTGCTCGGTCGCTGTAATGGCTTCTTCTTCCACATTTTCTGCGTGGGCCTCTAGCAGAAGTATACTTACCCCTAAGGCAACTAAGTACTACACTGAGCATATCTGCAATTATCAAAACGGCTGTCCTCTTAGACAAACACATCATGCTGCGTCTATAGCTGCATCTACCGGAACATCACTCTCAAAGTCATCTCTCAAGAATGGATTCAAATGCCGGGCTCTAGAGGTGGAGACCCAGCCTTCCATTTCACAGGGGAAGAAGTTTCAACTCGAGGACATCATCGAGGCCCAGCAGTTTGATCGGGAAACTCTGATTTCCATATTCGACGTTGCACTTGAGATGGAGAAGGTTGAGAAGAACTCACCTGGGAGCCAAATTCTTAAAGGTTATCTGATGGCCACCTTATTTTACGAGCCCTCAACCAGGACCAGGCTCTCATTTGAGTCTGCCATGAAACGTTTGGGTGGGGAAGTTTTGACCACTGAGAATGCACGAGAGTTCTCATCGGCTGCAAAGGGGGAGACCCTTGAAGGTAGATAGATATCTTGGTTTGTAAATTTATGTATTTCAAGTCTGCGTGACGATGGCGGTGATGACGACACACTAATCTTGATTTTTATATTGCATTCAGATACTATAAGAACGGTGGAAGGGTACTCTGATATAATAGTGATGAGGCATTTCGAAAGTGGTGCTGCTAGAAGGGCGGCAAGCACAGCTGGTATTCCGGTTATTAATGCTGGAGATGGCCCGGGACAGCATCCAACTCAGGTTTGTAGACTCTCTCTCTCTCTCTATCTATCTATACATCAGTTCCCAAATCTTGAACATCATCTTGCCCCTTTTCTGCATCTGAATCTTAATCTGGAGATGAAAACTGAACTGCAGTACTGAAACCTTGTAGTAATATCTACAAAATCATGTCTCATATGTTGGTGGGTTTTTATAAAATTTCAACTGACCATCTCGTGTATGTGACTGGACTTTTTCTTTATCTGCATTCATAGGGTCAGTTATCAAACTGGTTTTTGGATTTCAATTATGAATAGACTAATTATGAACCTTGTTCGAATTTTGTATGAAGTGGGTCTCTCTTTTCGCCTTGGTATAGCTAGTTGAAAACTATTTTGCAGTTATAGTTGTTGCAAACTGCTGCTATAGAACCCTTGTCTTCCTTCTTATGCCCTTCTATTACCGGATGATTTTTTCGTTATGTATTTTTATCTTGAATGTTTAAATCTGTATCTTTTATTTTGCACGTCTTACTATTTGTTTTGTAGTTCCAATTCTTAATATTATGTCCCTACCTTACTAGTCAGTCCATTATCCGCTCCTTCTATGTCCTGATATATGTATATTTACTCGGGACACTGAGTGCACATATGTGAAACATGATATAAATATGTTCACTGTGTTGCTTCTCTATGCTTACCTGCTTGTGGACATATGATGGACAGATCAAGAAAGTAATGGCTATCTGATACGATGACATTATTTGGACATGTGGCGTAATATTTACGTTATTTATTATATTTTTATTATACATCCATCTCAGGCCTTGCTGGATGTGTACACAATTCAAAGAGAGATAGGGAAACTTGATGGCATCAAAGTTGGACTCGTTGGAGATCTTGCTTACGGAAGGACTGTCCGCTCGCTCGCCTATTTGCTCGCCAAGTTTAAGGATGTTAAAATCTACTTTGTCGCACCTGAAGTAGTGAAAATGAAGGTACACCGTACACCTACGCTATGGTCCTATGTGCAAGGTGTCAAATTCCTAATGAAGACTTAATTAATTTTTTAATAATACCTATTTCAGAATTCGTGTCGATATATAAAATTTCCAATGAAAGTTGGAGTCAAGCTGACACTATTCCTGATAAGTAAAAGAACTTAGCATAATTTTTTTTTTTTTTTTTTTTTTTTCCGAAACGATNTTCCAATTGTAATTACAGGATGACATAAAAAATTATCTTACATCCGAAGGAGTTGAATGGGAAGAGAGCAGGGATTTAATTGAGGTGGCTTCCAAATGTGACGTGGTGTATCAGACCCGCATTCAGCGAGAAAGATTTGGGGAAAGAATTGATCTTTATGAAGAAGCCCGAGGCAAGTACATTGTGAATCGAGATGTCTTAGATGTGATGCAAAAACATGCAGTCGTAATGCATCCATTGCCAAGACTTGATGAGGTAAGCTTAATTGCCAAGAAAAATGTGCCATTTTTTTCTTTCAAAATTAGATGTTGCAATTCGTGTCAAGGCAAACATCAACTGGTATTTCTAATTTTGAAAGAATTGGGTTTTATCATAGTCATGGTAGACTCTGAGGGTAGTATGTGTATATTATTCTGTTTACTCTTACATCTTGTTGTTATCTTTCGACTGATTGTGTGGATTTGTCCTTTGCACCAATTTTCAGATCACTGTTGATGTGGATATTGATCCAAGGGCAGCCTACTTCCGACAAGCAAAGAATGGTCTCTACATACGCATGGCCCTCTTAAAACTTTTACTGCTTGGATGGTGAATCTTTATGGTTGCATTTTCTCCATGGGGGCACAAATAATGAGTTTTGGAATGTATTAGTCATTTAGTTTTGTCCATCAGTCCATTGCAAGTTTTGTGGTGGTTATATTAAACCTTCGTAGTGATATTAGATTTTTATGGCTGAGAAGGATGCTATGATTATTTATCACTGCAACTTTGGTGCTTGGACTTGTATTTCAAGTAGTTTCAAACAGATTGTGCAAGATCAAGTGGAGTTCTTTTGATGGAATCTTGTTTTTACACGGTCTAGGAAAATATGTGCATGTCTAGAATCTTTTTCAGAATATGTTTCAAATAAAAGGTATACATTGTCAAAATCCGTATATACAGAATATGTTATTATTTACATTGTCAATAGGAGTTTTTATACCTTTTCTGCTTGCATGCCTAGAGAGTAGAGATCCAACAGATGCTATATTCGCCAAAAATTTCATGATTCACTGAACTTCAAAATCGAATTTTCTCCAATACAAAAGGTATACATTGTCAAAATTAGCACTTTACCATTTTCATAATATTTCATTTAAATAGAGCTTCATTGATATAGTATATTAAATTAACTTAAAGATATATTATCATAATGATATATCTAAAGCTTAGCATTTGAACTCGTGGATGTTTATGGATTGACCCATGTAATATGAAAAGAAGTATGTGTGGCTACATGTTTTGTTGACATACAACCATTATCAGTACGGTGGGTCAACTATTGGTCAAAATATTATAAAGAGGTATGAACGTTTAAGTGAAATGGTCAATTTGGTGCAACCACCGACAACAGACAATATAGTAAAAGACTTGGATGGCTAAATGGACCCGCCAGCGCGACTCTACCATTAGTAACGAGTAGTATTAACTATTTAGTAGTGATATATGGAACGGCCTGAGGTCACATGTAACAAATAATACATGTAAAAAGATATATATGATGACTATATATTTTTAAAATTTGTCAAAGAATGTTGATTAAACATGCAATAACTTCCTTCAATACCGACCTGAACTGCCAATTCAAAAATCATGTATTTGATT